TGGAACAACGCAAACCCGGCTTTGTGGAGGTGATGATTACATCCTCTTCACTTCTCTTTGCCCTCTGTGTAAAAGTGTCCCTTCATTCCAGTAATTGACAAATGTTGGTTCCTTACGGGGTCTGCTGCACCTACACACTGGGATTTAATTGTTGTTTTTAATGAGTAGTTGCATGTGTGAGTGTGTGGCGATCTGCATTAATGACTAAATGTGTGTGTGTGTGTGCTACTTTTGGTACAAGCCCCGCTGTGTTTGCTGTTATCTGTGTGTTTGAGTGTGCATGCTTAAGTGTGCTGGTGTGAGGAGAAACCATTAGGGATCCTCCCTAACTGGAGAGGAAGTGGAGGCGGGTGGCTACACATAGGTGTCACATCTTCATCATAATCATCATTAACCTTAACCAGTAGAATGGGATGCTTTTGAAGAAGGAGATCGTGTATTTGGGATTTTCTTTGTGGAAAAAAAAACCTGCTTGATGATCTTTGAGGAGATCATATTGTTTTCAGTTACCTTAACTTGAACTCAAGTCTAACTTTGGTCTAAAACCCCAAAAAGATCTTTGGAAGGATTTGAAAACAGAAAACAAGCTAAAAGGTATTTTTTTCAATGTTTTTATAAATCTGCTCAAGTGTTGTTGCTGCAGAAGAAGAGGTAAGCTGCAGTTTACGTTCCCATTTGTCCTTTTGAGGGAACGTGTATCTGAGTGTGTATAATGGTATTTGCAAGGGTTAGTGGGACTCTAATGCAGAATTGGTGGCAGTAAAAAGAACTAGACCCCCACTCCACATGGAATTTAACTGTACTTAATCAAGTTATATCAACTGGTTCCACTAAACCAGGGGTGGACAACTTCCTTCTGGTATCAAGCATGTTTTAGTCGTTTCCCTCATGAATCAGTGCAGAAGTCTGTTAATCACCTGCTGATTAAAATCAGGTGTGCTGAAGCAAGAAGGCAACTAAGGCCTAGTCCACACGTAGCCGTTTTTTTTAAACGAATATCCGCCCCTCCAAAAACGTGCATCCACACCACCTCGTTTTAAAAATAAACTCTGTCCACACGTACCCGGATAAATACGTTGTTAAGGACATGCCAGGCCTGTAGGCGCCAGTACTTCCCCCGTTCTTACCCTCGTCCTTCTTCTGTGGTCTTCCGCAAGGAGCAGTAATTCCGCTTGTAAAAACAAACAAGCAAAAAGCGCTTGGACAATTGATAAAGCGAGCACAGCTCTGAGGGCATCCATGCTGTCGGCTAGTGTAAACACAGGTCGCACACGTGATGTCAGCATTTTTTGTCGCGGAAAGTGACGTTGCGGACCTTAAAACTCCGGTTTTGTCTGTCCACACGCAGACACCCAAAACGGAGAAAACGCAGATCTTCACTTTGGCCGGAGTTTTTAAAAAGATCCGTTTTCGTGTGAAAAAAACCCCTCAGTTTTCGTGTGGATGACAGGCCAAAACGTAGAAAAATATCTACGTTTTGGCAGATCCCCGGCTACGTGTGGACAGGGCCTAAAACGAGCTGGATACTGGCCCTCGGAGTAGGGTCTGCACTAAACCCAACAAGGAAAATAACCTGTACTCAGCCTGATGTCTTCTTATTGTAGTTTTTGAGTGTGTTTTGGGCTAATTTGTAATCCTGTAAAGCGCTTAGAGCGGCAATCGGTTAAGCACTTTATAGAATTTGGACTGATATGCGTTGTTATACGGTGCTATGTTGATGTTTTACATTGCTTTCGTGTTTGACTTCCTGTCTGGTCCGATCTGAATAGTGGAGTTTGATGTTTTTTTGGAAGAATAGCACATAATGAATAGACCCAGAGCACCCCTTTGCTTCTGTGGCATTTTGCAGCCAGCGGAAAAGTAACCCGTCCACAATACCGGTGGCTAATTGTTTCATTTTGTGGCCGTTTCGCATTTAGTGGACAGTTGGGGTTAGACATCTGCTTACGTACAGCAGACTTACAAAGTCTTTAAAATATTTTCATGGCCACATTCAGATTAGCCATAAGTTTGACAATCCTGTCAGAAATAATCTATTTCTCTGCGTTGCGGCAGCTCAGGATGCCCTGTTCAATGGAAAAGAAGAGTTGAGCCTTTTCCACGTGTTTCAAAATGGCCCAAAACAATTCCAATTCCTCTTTTCTTCTGCAGCAGTTTGACCCAAATCATTCTCAAACTTTCACACAATTTAAAAGCATTGGGTTTGAAAATGTTAATTTACCAGCAAGAGCATTTCTGAGAAACTATAATGCAGGTGCATCCGTTTCAGGGTTGTGGATCTGTTGGATCGTTCACCTTCCCCTCCTCATTTGAGCAGAGTCATTGGCGCAAAGTGGCATTTAGCCGCATTACTCTGTCAACCGTAGCCTCTTTCCACTGCAGTCCCACTTAAACAGGAAAACACCCTCACAGAAATTCACATGTAATTGACTTTTTTGTTCTTTAGGGGAAGCAAGTGGAGAGTGGTGAAGGGGTGAAGGTTGACGGGATACGGGGAAACACTGGAGGGCGAACGCTGAGGGAAGATGGATGTTGGTTTGTGAGTGTTTGTGTGTTTGTGCGGTCAGTGGATGGAGGTCTCTGAAACAAAACTAGGAGGAGAAAATAAACAAAAGGACACAGGAGAGCGATGCAGGGATCTCTTTGAGATCAGGCTGGTCTCAAAGTGTAGTACAACTATAAAACAGGGTAAAACAGGATTTCCTCCCCCAGGAATTGCGATCAAGTGCTTCTCCATTAGTGGGGTGCACCTCCTAGGGGGCATGGGGGTGGGGGGTGGGGGTGGGGGGGTGGGGGGTTATTATCTAAGGAGGATGCGAGAAGCAGATGGAGCCATTTTTATTTGATCCTCGTTTTCCTCACTAGCTTCTTTTTTATGCTGGTGTTTCTGTCAATTTCTGTATTTTTCAAGCTCTTTTGATATCTGTCTTCATTTTTATTCTCACTTTTTAATCTTCTTTTCCCTCTTTTTTATCTTTTACCTAATAAAAAAATATATTTTGCTTTTGAAGCACCATGTGATTGTCATTTAGAGAGGCACTGTATAAAAACACTTCTTCGTCTATTAGTCCTTTTTCATGCATGGACGCTAAACGAGCCTCCAGTCACTAGGTGGCAGCAGTGCTCAGACTAATCAACAGACTGCCTCTTTAAAGAGCAAGTCACCCCCTACTAGAGTCTTACTCCACTCCCACTTCCTGTTCATCACAACAACGACATTGTGACATCACAATGTACTAGTTAACGTCATAGTGTACCTCTTAGCCAATAGCAATAGCAGATTTTAATTCAAATGCAGTGCAGAGTTTTTACCTGAATAAGGTACAACCCTGACAGTTTTAAGCAAAATATCTAAAATTTAACTAAGATGCACTAAAGTGCCAAATTATTGACTACACATGTCTACAGCGCGATTAGACAATCATTTATATAGTTTAAAAATTTTTTTTAAAAATTGATATGGGGGTTGACTTGCTCTTTAACTCATTCGCTGCCAGCCGTTTCCTGATCGCTAAAGGCCTTTGCTGCCAGCGTTTCTCACCGTTTTTACTGTTTTTTAGAGTCACAGAATGTTGTGCGCTAGGATGATGTGGACGCCAAAACAACCAAAACAAAGTGGAGACACACCTCTTACATCAGGAAGAATCCGCGTGTTTCGAGTGTTATTTGTTCTTTCATAATCCGTAGTCGAATTGTGATCGGCAGGCGCTTTCCGGTTCGTGCCTCACTTTTTTTTACAGGAACGGCCCAAAACGACCTCCTAACACATGGAATTTTCTGCTTCCTGATCAAGTGACGTATGCGGATGAAGATCGGCTTCAGACCTGAGATGTTTGTTCTCTTAGCCCGGGGGCTTGTTCCGATACCCAAACAGTAAAAAGATGCAAATGGCGATTTTAGTCGTCATTGGCAGTGAACGGTTGGATCTAAAATGACGACTTTAGTCACTTTGGCAGTGAATGAGTTAACAATGAAAGCTGGAAGAAAAAATAGAGAAAATACGACAAAGCTCACTTAGCCCTGCAGATTTCACATACATGCGGTCAGAAATGAGAAAAGTGGCTGGTAGGATTTGCTTGTCGAAGCTAATGCACTAATGGATTTCCCTTCCCAGTCCTTCATAAGCTTTGAAATACTGTTGGAAAATGACAACTGTTCCACATCTCTACTACAAAATGGCCCTACTGTTGAAGTTAAAACTTGTAGTAGAAGCACATGTTCACGTAGAAAACCAAATGAACCCATTACTTTGAGAACCGTGGCTAACGAGCGTTAAGTTTAGCATGCTAACCGCATCTTAAGCACTTATGCATTTAAATTAGAAGAGACCAAACATTTCATGAGCAAAGTAACTAAAGTTTCAAGACGACTGTCCCACATAATCCTTTTACCTTCTGGGTAGATGACTAGACTTTTTTGAAACTTTGCAGAAGCATAGAGATCTAAGTCTAAGACTGAGGAGAAGCAGGTAAGAGGAACTGCATTAAAGAGTGAAAGGAACAGAGTGGGAGATAAAAAAGAGTGATGGAGAGGGTGTCTAGTTCCACGAAGATCCATGAAGCCTCCCACTGAGAAGACTTGGGAGAATAGGCACAAAGAAATGGATGAGAGCGGTGATGGGGGGTACTTAGTGGGAGGCCCCCTCTTTTGAAGTAGACTTCAGGATGGAGGCATCTCAGAGCATATCAGAATCTAACACAGCAGATTAAAAGATGGAGAGATCACAACAGAGTGGAGGGTGATGACGGGGGAAAGCAGAGACTAAAACTTCTGCAACTTCAGCAAAAAAAAAAAAAAAAAAAAAAAAAAAAACAGAGGAAGACTGAAGGTCCAACCTCCTCTGGTGCCTTGGAGCTGCAGCCAGGTCTTTGATCTGGCTCCTCGCTTTAGCTCTCTGTCGGAGACCTTCCCAGTTTGATGCTCAGGATTAAAGGTTCATTCCAGTATATGTGTCGCATTAATTATTACTTGTGCAGATTCATGTGGAGTTTAAGTTAAAGGAGACATAACATGAAAAACCCACTTTTTTATCCATTAACACGGTGTGTTTCACATTTTAAGTGTCTAAGTGAGCAAAAAGGCTTATATTATTCACTGGAGTTGCTATTTAGATATTTAATAATTAAGTTTTGGGCATATTTGTCCACCCGTTCAGTTTTTACATTATCTATTACATCAGTAATTAATTTAGTGAGGATAACTACCAAATATGGTAATGGCCCTCGGCTAAACACAGAGCCAATCCGCCATTTTTTCTTCTCGCTAAGATTTTTTGTAGTCCTATTGGAAAAATGCAGAATGTCTGGTTATTTTAGCCACACACAGCTCAAAACTGTTCCTCGTTTTAAGGAAGGGTGGTGTGGCAGTATTTAAACCCAGGAGCTGATGACACTACTGCTAAAAAAAACACAGAAGAAAAAGTAGTGTGTTTGCGTTTGTTTGTTTGTGTGTGTGTGTGTGTGCGTGCGTGCGCGCGCGCGCGTGGTTCGTTCGTTCTGTCTCCAGGCTAGTGGCTAAGTACTGAGGGCTTCATCTATCTAAAAGGAGTTATTTCCATCTGAATTTGGCAGCACCGGGACACAGCAGCAGAGCGGTAAGCTTCATATCACTCTAAAATGTCGACAAACTTTACTTTAGATTTACGGGCATTAGCAGCACTAAAGCGTTAGCATCCGGCTTGCTATCGCTAGCACAGTATGCTAGTAAAGTTAGCACCCAGATTAATGTGGATTTGGCTGATTTTCGTGGAATAAAACGTGATTTCTGATCAACGCCTTCTTTTACACCAGATGATAACCTCCCACTGATTGTAACAGCAGAGAGCCTGTGTGTTATTCTACATGAGTGTGATGTAATCTTAGCATCCAGTAAATAAAGTCCCATATCAGCTAAAATGCAGCGTGACAAAGTCATTAAAGTGCGTCAACACAGTGGATTTAATAGAGTTTTAAAGAACGATCTCTAAGTGAAGTGAGGTTAGTTTTTTGTCTCACTGCAGATATAAAAACTAACTCTGCATCAGTCAGACGCAGCAAAGCTCACCGTCTGTATGAGCGTGAGCGTCGGAAAGCTGATAAAATTGGCTGTAAAATAATTAAAACAAAGTAAAAATGTTCCTTTGCTTTTTAGAGTCCACATCCAGAAGACTGGAGTCGTGTTTCACTGACAGGCTGTCAGACTAACGCCCTGATGAGCTCAGCTGGGACAAACTGGTCTGATGTTTAGGTAAGTGAAGATCTGCTTCTCCAAGTCCTTGAGATGCTAGTAAAAAATAATTTAGCCAGCTTGCTAATGTTACTTTTCTTCTCCTCTAAGGAACACAGAACGTTCAGATGTTGGCGTTTCACGTCACCTACTGAGGAAGGAGACCCACCAGTAAAGAGACGGTCTGGACCAGACCAAAGTGAGTGATGACACACCTCAGCCACCCTCATCATTAAGAACACCTCACCCCCTGAATCACTCCGTCTGATGACAGCAGAGTGATTTATTTGATGTTTTACTTGTTTAGTCTGTTTAGAAATTATTGAATTACATTATTTTCTGTAATCGACCATCTGATCTGGATGTGTGCAGAATAACTTTCCCCAAATTCAGCAGCAGCTGGCCTACAAAAACAGCTGCAGCATGTAGTAAGTCTGTCTGCACTGCTCTCTAATGAGCTTCCTTTCATAAGGAATCATTTGTATAATTTTAGTGTCACTATTTTATTACATTTGTAGGAAAATATGAAGTCACTGCAGCAAAGTGAACTTGTGAACAAACACAAACGTGACTATAAACATGAAAGCTAAAGAAACAACTTCCCTAAAGCTGCTTGTAAACAAAATATGTCATTAAAGTTATTGTCTATCATTGCAGAATATGGCGATGACATCATGGAACTGGTCTTTGGAAAAGTTTTCCCTGAACCAACTCCGTTTCTAGATGAGGTAGAGAAGATCTGCATCTCACCAACTCTCTGGTCTCAGTATTCAGACAACGGAGGTCTCCCACTGTTGTCCAGGACCAGTTTGAAGCCCACATACTGCCCCTCCCTCATCATCAGGAAACATCAATCCGTATCCTGAGGACAACAGAAGACGGCAGGAGGACAGGAACTCTGAGACCTAGACACCACCAGCACCGAGACACAAAGCACCTGTGTGCACAACGCCTGTTTTAACTACTAAAGCCTGTTTATTATATTGTTCTACTTATTTGCTGTGAGGTTAATACTTAGAAAATTTGTATATTAATGTAAACAATAAAAAAAATCACTGATTGTATGCTTTCTTTTAGATGTAATGGTCCAAACTCAGCCTTGTAGACATTTATTGCATCCTGTAGGTAAATACACAGAACAGGCTCAGGTCCAGGATGACCCAGCATGCTCTTCTTCCATTCTGGCTGTTAGGGATTGTATCAATAACTCAATGCCTACTGATGTTTTCACCTAACGGTATTTATTTAGAATGCAGGTAAGATTTAACTATATTTGTTAGCAAAGCAGACTGATCTTGGGAATTTCACTGCAGCACTGATGTCCACCTCTCTGTACACATTAGAGAGAATTACCACTTTACAGCTAAACACATTTAATAAAGATATAGGCTACGCATTGCAGACAACAAAAACAAAGTTGTAAGCATTAGAATTATAATGATGACATTAAAGAACATTTGGAGGAATGTTCTTTTTTTTTGACTAGAATCTCAAATCTTTAAATTAAAATGTAACTGCTTTTTATCCATTTTCAGCCATTAAGACACCCAATATAAAATAAGACTACTTATAAAATTATTTATAATTATATGTATGTATATAGATAGAGATCTTAATAAAATATATTCTTTGAATGGTGTTTTAATGAGCTGTATCATTTTTTTAAACATTTTTTACAGAAATAAGCAAGCAGCATTCCTTGTGTGTGTGTGTGTGTGTGTGTGTGTGTGCGCGCGCGCGTGTGCCTGCTCGCTTGTCCCTCCGTCGGCCGTGACGGGTGTGTGTGAGTGACTACAGACAAATGCATGAGAGAGTTAGCAGCCATGAAACAGCTTGATGAACTACTCTCCCCACGTGTTTTAAAAATGCTAATATGCTATGCTAAATCTGCTATGCTAAATAATGATTTCTCTATAGAACTACAAAGTCCGACTGGGGGAGGAGAGTACAGGACTGCACTATGGAGGGGGGCGGAGTTTACAGCTCCTCCTCCAGTTTAAAGAGACAGTACCCCAAAACGGCTCGTTCTCAAGACTCTCCTCAGAACAGGGGTAGATGAGGGTCTGTAGAGCAACAATAATGAGGAAATCAGACCAAAGAACTGCAGTTCCACTGTTTTTAGACCCCCAACTGAAGGATTTAGATGTAAAAAGGAATAACTTAAAAGCATGTTATGTCTCCTTTAAAACTGACCAGCGCTGCTTTTCACAACCTTTCTCACGGCTTTTCAAACTGAGAAATGACAGGAGCTGTGCGATGTCCTTGGGTATAGGTTGGGCCGATCGCTGATGCCTGTCATCGGTCTCTTTGTTCCGTCTTACGTGTAACTGTCATAAAGGTGAATAGAGAATTGAAATTCCTGCTCACAATTTTCTCGCTGCTCTAATGCGGCTCATTATGTCTTTTGAATTAAACCCCATTAGCACACAGCAAGGCACATTAGTGTGATAGAGAACGTGGAAAAGGAGCTGAGTCGGGGAAACATGTTTTTATCTCTTGGAAGAAGCTCCAAAAGAGATTTAAGTAAAGAAAAAAGCCTTAGAAGTGATACATCTCATATTTGGTGGAGAAATTGTAAACAGAGATAGGATTGTTTTGTGTGAAATATGCATTTTGTTTACCAAAGCATAAAATAAACCCACAATATGGGGTTGAGGAACCTCTCATGGAGGCCCGTTTTGAGAAAGACATAGGAATCAGAGTTGTGCAGTGTTGGATCTTCATTTTCTAGACTCCTAGGAGTCATCTTGGGAAGCTGTCAGTCCTGACTGACAAAAAGCATTTTGTCATATTCAATAACAAAGTGTAGGAGTATTTTCCTTTAGTTTGGCCTGATCAAGTCTCTGGACAAACAAGTGAAATCATTTTTTTTTACCTACTAAATGCGACTGCCTGGGAATCTCTTAAAGTTGGAAAATTGATTCTAAAGCTGTCAAAACAGTTAGCTCGGAGTTGGCGCCAAAGCTACAAAAAGTAAGGACAATTCTAGAGATTTACGTCGTCTGGTAAACAAAAAAACTGTTTTTTCAGCAAGTACAATAAATGCAGCTCATTTAAAAACACGTGAAAACACAAATGTTCAGAAACATTTTCGGTTCAAGAGATGAGACTAAAAACAAAAAAGTTGGACATTATAGTGAAAAGACAGTGCTGCATTGATTCTCTAGTATAAATGGTTCATCTGCTTGTTTTTTTATGTCTCGTAGTTTTATGGCCTGTTTATGTCTAAACTGCTTGTTTCATGGTTTATTCTTTAGTGTTCTTATCTGTTTCTGCTGATGGACATCTGCTGTTTACGCTGCTTATCAGCTACTAAATCTTTTAAAACGAATATTCTAGAATGTAGCCTGGTATTGCTTAATGGATGGCTGTTTTTCAACGTTTAGATAAGGCATTTAATAGAAGGCAAAGCACTTTTATTCTAACCTTCAAAATGTTTTGAACTGCTGTTGTTTTCAGCAATTACTTGAATTTTGGAGGTGGATTGAAAAATAATTCAGTATTTTCTACACAAAATGTTTTTAAGAGAGTACCGGCTGAGAAAAGTTGGTTGCAGATGTAGAACAAAGTCAGTGTTATGTCTCAAGTTCAGTATCAAACACTTGGGACATACCTGCCTATTTATTTTGAAAGAGTAGCAGTGCCCAAATGTTTGACGGAAACTGTAAAGCTCAAGATGTGCAAGTCTTGGGTCAAATCCAAGCCCTGAACTTTGATTTTTAGTGCATAAAACCACCATCTGACCAAAGTAATGTAATGAGGCAGCAATAATGGAACAAATAGCAGAAATTGACAT